TCTCATACTAAAATTATATCATACACGTTATTATATTAGCAAAATGACACTTATAATATTACATGTCATTTTGTCTTTAACTATTTAAATCATTTAAAATGGAAGAATGTATTTTGTGATATAAAAATTTAGAAATATTACATATTTTAGTATGACGGTTTTTTCTTTTTTGTTAATTAGTCCATAATCTTTGTTTTGAATATATTATTTATTTTAATTTTAAAATTTTTGTTAATATTGACACATGTCACAATCTAAATTAAAAATTATATGTGTCGTAATATGGTGAGTTACAATTTTGCTTACGTGTCGCGTTTTTATCGTGCGCATTCTCCTTTATATAATAAGATGTAAGACATGAAATCAAAAAATAATTGTTACATTCTTGTCTTCACAACCTTAGAAAGTTCCATTACTTTTTTTATCACAAAGACTAATAATAATTCTTACAAAACTTAACTATTCCTCTGCTGAAGTTTGGTTTACATCTTTAGATTCTGCTGGTACAATCCATCGGTTTAAACTTTTCAACGATGTAGACACCTAAATGTTTTTTTTAGTAACAAACAATATAAGCTCCCAACACATAGCTAGCTTGAAGAAGCTAAATATTTTGTGGAGAAATAAATTAACTAAAGATATTTTTATACAAATTAATTTGCATACCTGTTGATCCCAATCTGTCCTCAGAGTCATTATGCTAAGCACACAAGTCTGAACAAATACTCCAAAGAGCATCCCGATCCATACACCCTAAATTTAATGAAACAAAATTTTATGTTAACGAGATTTGTTTCCAAGACCATAAAAAATCAGAGTAATTGATCTAATTTGTTGTCAAACTTACTTTGACTTCTAAACCGACGACATAACCAAGAAAAACACCACAAGGAATTCCAACAAGGTAATAGCAAGCAAGGTTAACGTAAGTAACATATTTTTGCCATCCTGCTCCAACTGCAACTCCTGTTCCGGTTTAAGTACATGTTCAAAACACATGCTAGTTATTTCGAAGACCGGTTCTTTATGCTTGTAACCGTTACGCGTAAAAATAGCTAAAATGTATACCAGAAAGAACGGGTTGAACACTGTTCATGAGGATGGAGAAGGCTAGAAGTGGAGAAAGATTAGCAACTTCTGCGGCCACAGCTTCACTTGAAGTGAAAATGTAAGAAACTCTTCCTCTTAAAAATAAGAAGACAAAGAATAAAAATGTCCCTATAGAGAGTGATGTGAAAACCGATGTCAATGTTGCAAACTTGGCTCCTTTTGCGTTTCCTCTACCGAGCTCGTTGGACACTCTAACACTATTTGTATACATAATTACCATGAAGAAGAATGTATAAGTAAATACCATCA